TGTTATAGGAGTACAGAAAAAATAGTAAAAGAAATTAATTGTTATTAAAAACTGAGAAATTTGCAAAAAATTATATCAGAAATACGGCAGCAATGTTTTCAAGGTAATCTGCCTAATTAACATTGCGCAAATACCTGTAGCGTCGTAATTATTTAAAACTCCGGTAACTATGGAATTATACAGACTGACAATAAGATAGACAAGGATAAACGGTAAATTCAACAAGATTTGTTGACGAAATGTCAACCTGTTCTCATAACCTCGAATATTGGTGTTTAAAAATAAACCATACAACACCAAACATTTGAATGGTTAACTCCAAACAAGCTAGTACCTGTGTAATCTCCTTATTATCCACTCTTATCAAGCAGCTTCTCGTATTCAGTTATCTCCTTGTGCTGTGTGTATCGTACAAACGTGGTAGGAACGTAGCCCTTCCTCGGTATCTATTTGGTGCTTGGGAAAGTGTCATTTATTGTGCTCTGAGTGCCCCTGGGAGGCCCGGATTCGGTAATGTCTAATACTTATTCCTCTGTGCCTGGAATTTTTTTTCGTAATTTGAGGCAAAGATGGTAATTTTTCTTTTTAAATGCCTAAGTATTCCAATATGCTACCAATTAAACATGGAACAATTTCAAAATAGTGCTTCAACAAAGTTGAAATTCGATCTTCAACTGTTAATATCTTGTGTCAAAGAAGTTGAGTAGTATTATGGGAGTATAGATTTATTCACATTATATATATCTACCTACTACCTAGATAGTTTCATTGAATTTCGTCCAGTGTGTCGGCAGTGTCGGCACCTGTTTCTTATCTATTTTTCGTTAAGATTGTTTGTTCATGGAAATGTTTTGTTATAAATTATCGCTGGAGATGACTGAGTAACAATTTATTTCAACTTTAATAAAAGGCACAGATTTCCTTGTAAAGGGTAACCAACGTTAGTGTTCCTACCGCTGATAAGTTCTGTTAACTTCTTCATTTTATTTGACTTCTATTCTGATTTTCTTCTAACCCTGTATTTCTACTAGCCGTCCATTACCAAGAAATGTAAAATTTTGTAGATGCAAGACCAAATGTAAAGTTATCTGAAGACCTGTTCTGTATTTCTTTAGAAAAGTTTGGAGTGAAAATTATTCCTATAAACTATTAATAGTTAAACACAATTTTTTGTTGCTACATTAGAGAAATTGCTGAGTGACCCAAAACCAAACCTACTAGATAGGTACTTGGAGCCAAATTTTTAGCCGCTTAATATGTCGTTTAACAACGCATATTTTCACAAAAATTCTGTATATTTCCGCATAGAGTTGGCATACTTTACACAAAGTAATCGTTAATGATTTCGCAAATATTAAATTTGTTTGTATTAAACCGAATTAGTGTAATCAAAGTATAAAACTTTCTGAAAACTGTACAGCAATGGAATCCAAATGACCATATCGAAACTAAACGAAACCAAAAAAATATTGGAGTAGTTGTTGGTTTATTATATTAACTGTAATTAACGACCTCGTAGATAGACTACTAATTAACTATTAAAGGAAATTTAGCAATAATTGGTTAAAAGTTCTAATGCCGGTATTACATCGCACTTTCCTCCGATTTACTGGCTACTAATTTGGGCCAATTGTATAGTATAGTCATCGGGCTGTGATCAATAAATCGTACGATTTATTGCGGACTTAGTTTGCTGGAAAATATTGCGGATTGTGTAAAGTTTCTGGGAATTTATTGTTTGCTAACTGTGCAGTGACGATTTTAGCGGCGATTCTCAAAGTAAAGTGGCAAGGAAATAAGGCTTCTGTTGTTTTTTCTTTTTATTGTGATTTAGATGTTGAAAATCTATGTTGTATGCAATAAGTTTAGCTAATTAATAATGAAAGTCAGTCGCTTCTTTGGTGGCATAAGCAAAGAGTTTGGCGCTTGGCTCATGTGCCATGATCTACACAACTAAATCGACACAAAGCAGTAGAATTAAAATATTGAAATTAATGTGGATTTTACTTTATTGTGAGAACAATATCCAAGAGTAAATAAAACCAAGAAAATTACCTTGAATAATTAGCCCACTTATTGGACAATAAATCGAAGAATCGAATATGTGCTCGAACATTATCATGCATTAGAATTAAGTTCTGATCTCCTGATTCGAAATAAAGTTGAACGTGCTGCCATAAGGTATATCATTAATAATTTATGCATTTATTAGATTGGCTATATTTTGGTTTCAAGCAAAACGATAACAGAGTGTTTCAAATAGCTGATAAAAATGGCTCGGTTTTTTCCTTATTGCTTGTTATGGAAAATTCGGATAAAAGTAAAGAATAATTTGAACTTTACAAAAAAATATGGTACCACCTTATGTTGGTTTTACAGAACTTGCACCAATTTATTGTGAAGATAATCTCTAAGTGTAGAGTCGATGAGGGACAGAAAGGTAACTTTCAATAGAGTGGCCCATAAATTGTGAAAAAGTTTTTAGTGTAAAACCAGTATTAAATATGTTGTTGTGTTCATAGAAGCCTTGGCCTTTCAGCATCAAGTTAAAGGAATCAGCTTTGAACGTTGTGTGAATTATCCTTCACCGCTAAATCGCATTCAATAAACTGTGTTTTGCTGACCCATTTTATTTCGGTGTAAGTAAAGTCCCAGTTATTTTCTACTTAGTGTCTACGGATACAATAATGTAAATACGACCTGTTATGACCCATTCGAATTTTCAATTCTCTATACAACGATGTCAAAACGAATTCTGTGACTCAAGTGGGGCTTGAGAAATTTCTAAAAAAGCAACGTCATGTTTGAGTCTCAAAGTGACTGCAACTCAAAGCAAAACATGCAACTCTAAAAGACTTTTTTGAGAAAACTGCCAACATTCCCTATCAACGGTTCACTTTCTATAAAGGCCATTTAGTTATCTCTAGAATAATATAAAAATAAGCGGTCTGCCTCATTTTGCTCCCGCGAAACGAGCAAACACGGGACGAAACACCTAAAATGTTTGGCATAATCTTGCGCTTCATTTTTGGTTTTACAGATAATAATATATGGTTAATCTAAAACTGTAAAAACTGATCCAAAAATTGCATATGTCAAAAGTTTGCTCTATTATCTGTGAATCAGATTGTACCATTTCGGTATTAGACGGATGGTTAATTATTTAATTATGTCCTGTTATGCCCTCGTCTTTGTACGTTCTTCAACGATTTATTTATAATTCCCTCGTCACCATCTTCATGACTCAGGAGTATTGAAGTTGAACCTTACCATCTTTGTCTTCCCGATGGCGATTACTATTAGTTATGAGAATACTTGTATGTTAATTACTTACTTTTTTAAAGTCACCTATTATAGGAACACAAGCTGATCATGAAGTGATCTTCAAACATGTCATCCCAGTTTGAACGGTAATTTGGAATTTCTTGTTTGCAATACATTTCAAGTTGTAAAATTGAATAAATGTAAGAAACTATAGGCAAGGTCTAAAACTCAGTGATGCACAAACCACGAATGAATCCTTGATGGTTTTCTTAACGATTTTATTGGTTTAAAGAACATTGTAGTTAGTGTTTGAATCAGCTACTCGTATAAAAGTCGCTAAAATGAACAATGAAGTAGAAATTCGACACCTTCTATTGATAGCAGCTTTAGTAAGTTAATTTTACCTTTTGTCGCAATATTGTTAAATATAGTACATATTTTCTTTAAGGATTCGGTTAGTTATGGCTTGATATATGGATTTATTTCTACCTACGTACTACAGTTGGGTGGGTCTCATATAACCGTTGGTATCTTGGCTGTAGGCAATCTTATTGGAGAACTGCTATCTCCAGACGTCATGGTAAATATATAAGAAATTCAATAAAAGCATGTAACTACTAATTTTTTTAGAGCTTATTGACCCATCTGCATGGCAAAAGATTTACCCTGTTTTTCATACTCAATATAGCTTTTGTAACAAATCTCATGATTGTATCAACAGAAAGCTTTTGGTTTACAATTTTGGTGAGAATATTATTCAGCATGACAAACCGGTCCGAAAGCCTATGCCTGGACCTTCTGCTCAATAAAGTTGAAAATGATGATTCAAGGCAGGTGCTACACAACTATCATAGCTTTTTAAGTAGTTCAGGATATATAATAGGGCCAATAATTAGTGGATACTTGTTTGACAGTGGTTTTTTATATATAGGGATACTAGCAGCATTATGTGATTTTGTAAATATAAGATTACTTATGAGCGTAAAGAGAAATGAGAATGATAAAAATAATGATCACGTAGATCAATCTGTCATTCAAAATGCTATTAACATCGTTACCGATAGTCTCCAAAACTTAAAAACGTGCACGCTAAGTAAAAACTGGGATTTACTTTTGTTAAAATATCTCTTTGCTAGTAGTATCATAACATTTTTGTCCAAATTTACACAAATTTTAAAACATAATTTTAATTCAAGCAACGTAACCATTGGATACACTTTGGCTTATATTAACATTATGGTGTTTTCTGCTACTTATCTGGTCCCTGTGGCCATAAAAAATATTAATAAGTTTTCCTTAGTTTCGATAAACGAATTATCTTTCATATCAATTGGCTTCTTAATTGTAGCAGCCTGCTATGCCCCTTATTATAAACTCTTTATGTTTTTGCTAATACCAATTATTATTTTGAGAACTTTACTACTTAACATATTTAAAGAATTGTTCTCCCAACGCAAAAATCAGTCGCTTGCTAAACTTAATAATGCTGCTAGTGGGCTTGCCGGATTAACAGCTCCGTTATTTTTCGGTATTATTTGTAATCATGCCGAGCACAATACTGTTATATTATTTTCTTGTATTCCTATGTTTATGTGCTTTGCTATCTTAAGGTATTATACAAGATTTATTACTACTACCGAAGTCAATTCCAATTAAAAATAGTTGTAAATATATGTGTATACCTAAAGAATTATTTAAGTCAATTCGTTCCATCACTATTCCTGGATTCACTCCTAATCATTTCGTATGACTAGTCATATGCGGCCTACCACATAAATATAAACATACAATTCAGTAGGATCAGATGAATTAAAAGCAGCAATTTACAGGGCCCTCATTCCAACAGAGCCACCGTGAGTAATTCATTATTTCCGAAATTTACAGCTTTGAAAAAAAACGTTTATTTAACTATAAAGAGTTCATAGAATAGAATCATAGAATTCAAAACAACATTTTAAATAGTTGCCTCTCTTTGAACCCAATCACCCTAACATGAAAATGTTAAATGGCACTGTCCGCATCAGCACAAAACCGATGCGACACCGTCAAAATCAACATTTTTGAAAAAATTGGATTATTTCGACGTAGGTATTTGTTAAAATAACCATGAAATGTCATATAAGAGTTGAAGAATTTGCGATTCTTCAAACTAGTTGTCAATTCAATTATTAACCAAATGGAGAATTATTTAAACTTTTTAATGAACCTATTTATTCTTCGCGGAAAATGTGATCAAATGGATCCTAATTTACAAATTACAATTACAAAACAAAGAAGTGTCTGCGAATACAAAACAATTTCGTTAATTAACGGTACCAGACTCAAAGCTGAACCGATGTTACCAAAACCTGTAACTTCTGATGAAGACAACATTGTACAAATGGCATATCGATTAGCGGGTAAAATAATGCAAAAGTTGCCGAAAGGTGCATCGTGCCATCTGGAAAGAAAAAAAAATGTTAGTATTACAGAAACTTAGTCAAAAGTTTAAATGTTTGAAATGAACAGAAGAAATAAAAGGGAAATAAAAAATGCCATCAATTTCAGTTGCTTCTCGAGAAACTAAACTCAGTTCAAGCTAAAAGATTTTATAGAATAGAAATCATGTTTGCCAGCTTTCTGCAAGCTGGCACCCCATTCTCCATTTTCTACCGATGGATTCTCAAAGCACTCACTTGAACAGACGATAACGATCCACTCCGAATTGAGAACTGTAATCTTTCAGAAGGTAACGGATAATCTAGAGCACTTGCCTTATTGGTACCAAATCATCTTGTATATACCGGCTTTGTACAAAGGACTGACGAAGTATTTTGTTCACTGCCCGTACCAAACTGAATATTCAGTCACTTTTTCAGACAATGCCACATATGCGAAATATGATTAAACTATTCGTCCGAAATCTGACGAACGTTGAACCTATGGTGAATTTTAAACCGTTTGACCCTATAGCAACAATTTATATTTTTCATAATAGGGCTCTCGGTGTGCGCCTGCATCTTGCAACCCACAATACATAGCTATTTCAAACATAAATAGCAAGAATTTGGCAACGTCGGCACGGTTTCAGTGATCTACTGTTTCATTCTCGAACTGTTTTGAACAGAGACAAAGCGAAAATATTATTTGTCTCATATTTGTCTGTTATTAACCACAAAATATCCCCCCGAGGGGGTATGTTCTGTGGTTATTAACTAGATAACCTAAAATTATGAACTTTAGTGCGTCCGAATTAAAAGATATTGCAGCAGAAATCGACAAAGATTTTACAGAGGATGGTAAAAGCTTAACAGTAGTTTAAATAACCAAATTTTGAAAACATAAATTTTAGATCCTAATCAGTGTAGTAGCAAAGAGCCATCAAAACCAGCATCAACTGTATTGGCAACTAGTACGAAGTCGCTCTTAGTTAATCCGAAACAGCGAGGAAACCCCATTCTTAAATCGATTCTTCGGGTTGCCTGGGAGTACGATGATATTGTGCCAGACTACCAAATGGGGTCACAAATATGTGCGTTATTTCTATCTCTACGATACCATAATCTAAATCCAGATTACATACATGACCGATTGAAGTTACTAAAAGATTCGTACCGGTTGCGAATTTTATTGGTGCAGGTGAGTTACGTTAGAAGAATCATAGGGTTTTTAGGGTGTTTGCTTTGAGCGTGCGGAAAATAAATTTTCTTCAAACGTGAATAAGTTTGGCATTGCTCTACTGACATTGCTTGACTACAATTCCTTGACGTTTATTCCATTTTATATTAAGATATTATTCTATATTAAGAAATATTAAGATCAATACGAGTGCATCTAGGTTGTATACAAAGATGTATAAAAATAAAGAAACATTGAAATATGTAAACTTTATATCATTTTCTAGGTAGATGTTAAGGATCCTCACTACGCTTTGAAGAATTTAACAAGAATTTGTATTTTGGCTAACATGACTTTGATATTAGCCTGGAGTCCTGAAGAAGCTGGTAAAATAGTTGAAACTTATAAAATATTTGAAAATAAACCTCCTGATAATGTTATGGGTAAAACTGAAGCATCTCCGTACCTAAAAGTATGTCTATTGTAATAGCGTTATAATTGTATTTATTGGCATATTTTCTAAATAATGGAAGTAAATTTAAAATTTTCAGGTAATTCAGACTCTCACTGCCATAAAGCCAATCAACAAAACGGATGCCATGAATTTGTTAACCCGATTTAAAACGCTGGAAGGTATTATTAGAGCATCAGAATCTCAGCTTTCAAGTTGTCCTGGTTTGGGACCAAGAAAAGCCAAAAGATTATTTAAAGTACTGAGAGAAAATTTCTGTAAATAATTCTAAGTATAAGCTTATAATTTAATAAATCGTGTTAAAACGTAATTTAAACACAGAGAAGTAAAGTAAATTTTAAAAATTCTGTTGTTTTCGTTGCCGTAAAATACCTTAATTTTGAAAATATAGCTCTGAAAAGAGCTACAGCTTTTTTAAACAAAATTATGCAATTTTTCAGCAATGTAAATTACATAGTTTGATATCTTTTTAACAATAAATGCGATGGCACCCATGTGTTTTTTTACGAATAACTTATTTTTGAGGTACTTATAATACTTGAAATGTTGCTGCAGATGTTATGGATGTCCATGATGAATGGAAAATATCTAAGCTACCTTGCTTGCCATTTCAGGAGTACGCGCGACAAAATATTAATGAACCAAATACGTTTTTTTCTTTACAACAACTTCAAAAACACAAGCATAAGATTATGTAAGAATTTTCCAGTATACGGCTGCTAATAAGAGCTGGTGTTAAAGAGTGTAACCCTGCACGGTGTGTAACTTATTTTGCTAAGTTTTACAGTTGAATTTTACCAAAATTATTCAATATTTTAGAATAAGGCATTCTGTATTTTAAGCAAAATAATTGTGTTATTCTCCCAGCGATCCATTAGGTATAGCTATCAAAGCTTTATATGAAAAAGAAATTAAAAAAAAAAAGTAAGATGTGTTTATTACATTATAATACAGAAATCGGCTTTTCATGCAAATTATCGTTAAAAACGTGATTTGAAAGTTAATGCTTTAACATAATTACATCCCTTAGATCGCGATTAAGAGAGACTTATGTGGTTTCCGTGGTGTAGTGGTTATCACATCCGCCTAACACGCGGAAGGTCCCCGGTTCGATCCCGGGCGGAAACATACTTTTTGGATTTTTTTCTGCTCCTTTTACTTTTTTAAAAAAGCATTTATTTATTGACCGCAAGACTGACAAGTCGGAAAATTAAAAGAACACCAAGTAAAAACTTGTATATGGAATTGGTTTGAAAACTTTGAGGATAAATTATTTTTAAATAAAATGTCACCAAAAAAATTAAGTAAATATTTGGAAATGATTCTTGTCAAAATAATTTGAATCAATTTTGCTACCAGTTGGCTGAAAACAATGAACAAATGAGTAAGTAACCTGGAATAAGTTTGAGTCGTTTTTAGATAGGCATTCATATGCCCCTCTTTCGACCACAAATAGCATAGAAGGTGGAAAAACTTGATAGAAAACTAAATTATTAAAAATAATACAGTTGCTAAGAAACAATTTTTATTTTCCCGGAGTTTAACAATTATTCTTCAAACTTGTCAAATACTTACTACCAACTAGATTTCGATTCTTTAACAGTTAGAATTTTCTCTACCATCTTAGCTCTAGTTTCTAACAGGTGCTTTTCTTGCTCTGGAACAGCACCTTCTTTCAAATTTCGCAGTAGAAAATGATGAATGAATAAGCGCATGCTTTTTCTAAACATTTTCAGCTTATCTGACATGGCTACATTCGTAAAAACGCCTTGCACAGCTTCCACATCGGAGTGCATTAAAATACCTAATAAAATTTGTCGTATTAGTCTTAAGGAAACTTTGTCCAAGTCACTAAATTCGATATTCTGAAAAACACGAAACAATATTCTTATATTCATGATTACATTTTACAGACACGAATACCTACCTTCAATGTTGATATAGGCAGTCCCTTTTGAATAAACAAATGGATGAGAAACTTTGCTAAGTTAGATAATTGTAGCCCAGAATGACTGCTTAGGGCATTCAGTTTATCCCATACTGCGCATTTTATAGTCATCTAAAAAGTTACTTAGAAAAATTAACTGCCTTAAATACCTAGAGCTTAAATAGCCCCATAAGAGCTCAACGCAAAAACATATCCATATTTTAGGGAATTCTCAGTTTCCGTTTCTTCGTGCTACACAAGGTTTGCTTCAACCATTGTTGAAAATCGTTTGCAAAGGGCCTCAAGCGACCTACTTTCACAACAAACAGAATAGTATTTTCTAATCATTATCAAGTCTCCAATAACCATATTTTTATTACAAATATGTAAATTTTACTTGAGAAACGTAGAAAACATCCAAAAGCGTTCGAGAATATTTCGTTATCTCTTAAATAGAAAAGGCTTCAAAACGTTAGAAAAGAAGTTAAAACAGTTCTGACAGATCTTTGAATGAGAATGTCCGAAATTTTTTAGATTTAAAGTTTAGTATTGAGCTTCAGCTTCTGATTGACTGATAACTCGTCACAAAAAAAATCAGAAAGTTGTCCCGATAAAGTAGCAATAATATTTCACAAAAATGCCAAATGAGCATGCAAAGAAGTCAAATTAAGAAATTGCAAAATTTGAAATAAAAACACGAGTTGGATCCAAAAAAACATACTTAACATGTGCTGGCTACTGCGAGCTCATTTGCTCACAATATTTAAACTGCAGTTGGAGCTTTCTAACTCCCTGAGAAAAATATGAAAACCCACAATATGACGAACACATTTTAGTTTCACTGATATCAAAGTTTATATTAAAAAAACGATTGCGTAAGTCATCTTACCTGAAATCGTCTATCATACTCGCAAAACTTTTGTGCCAAAACTGCATAAAATGCATTAAACGTTTTTTCCTGCAAACAGCAATGGATAATAACATGAACGATTTCTCGTTCTTGTTGGTTTTTAAGCCCCAGTCTTAAAAGTTTTTCGAAAGCATCCAAATAATCTTCTGCCGACATAATAATACAAAATACGTCTCTTCTGGTGTCGGTATTCATTCTTTGTTGCTTTGCCATTTTTAGTAATTTACTTGAAAACCCGTCAGTTTTGAGCGACTCTTCTTTTTTGTTTATCGTTTCAGTTTTGCCAGTCCATGCTGAACCTACCACCCACCATTTACCTCTTTGTTCAGCTAGAAAGTAACCGTTAAGTAAGTATTCCGATCCATTTGATCATTCTGTTAAAAACAGCTGCAAACTACTTTTACTTACCGTTTAGTAAATCTTCCAGTGATATGTTGAGAGGACTAATATAATTTCCTTTGCGAATAAATCCTTTCATCAGTTTTTTCATGTGTTCCGAGTCCGCAACGTCATAGTTGGGAATCTTGGTAACATTATTATTTTTTATCGCCAGCAAAATATCCAATAAAAATTTCACCCTTGAACTGAAATTAAAAGAATTTTTTTTGTTTTAATAAATCCAAGCAACTTTACACATTTTTCTGCAGAAGTAAAAAATGTGATGTGTGTGAAATGTGAAAGTGATTCGAGATCAATTTACTATTGTTTTGCTATGGTTGGATAGAAAACTAAACCTATTTTGAATTAGTTATCGAGTTATTTGCGTGCGCCAAAGGTTCATGTTTTACTGAAATTATAATGTACCCACACTCATTGGAACTTACTTGCTCACTTTTCCTTTACTAGCGCTAGCAGCTTGCTTTTGCAATTCCAATATTAGGGTTTTCAAAGCCAACGGATCGTCTTTTCTAAGTCCAAATCCTACACTACGCAAAATGTGGAGAATGCATTCCACATTCTTTTCTTCGAAGTTCTCAGCCAATTTATGTAAAATTTCATACAGTAGTTTGGCGTCAAATACCTTAAAGTTGTAAAGTTGCGCCAAGACATTCACAGTATTGTCTAATGACTTGTTCTGTACATCATCAGAAGAGTTTAAATGAAAATCAAATTTTTGAGCTACATTCTGAAGAAAATGAGCACCTGAAACATTATTGAAGAAACATGTTAATAAATATTGAATTACCGAATCTAAATACAATACTTAATATATAATTTCAACTATTTGATATAGATATAAGTCACTGGAAGGGTACGTTCAGTGAATATTTTATGTTTTTATTCTTTATTTAGCACAATTTGTTAGAATAATTTTTCATGTTAAATGCTCTAGTTATTTGTTAAATATTTATCGTTAAGACACAATAATTTTCAAATCATACATTGTGAGTCTGATTCTATAAATAATATTACAATTTCGTATGTTAGAAAATTGTATGAATTTGCAGTTGTTTATATTAAATTTCAACACCTTTAATTTATTTTTAACTTCTGAATTTCATATCAAATTAGGTTTATTTCGTACGTTGACTACGACTTCCGTAACATGTGATAAAAAGCGAAGAATCAAACAAACAAAGGTTTTGGGCAGATTGTCCTGGATCTTAAACATTTGAAGAAACTCGGTGTCAAGTAATAGTTGAAGAGAAAGTACATCTCTACCCTTCTATCGACTTTTTTACTCGTGTAAACTACAAAAACTGATGTGAAGTTTAACCGTTCAGTGATGAGTCATGTAATGAAGCAAATGAAGTAATGCATAACCCAGAGGTGATCTATAATTTATCGTTATGCTTACTCATCCTCTAATCTTGTGAGAAACGTATAAACTTTATACTCACCCACTTCAGTACCAACATTAGCATGCAATATTGCAATCAGCAAAATATGTTCAATTAGCAGTCTTTCTGGGGTAGAAACTGTGTCAATTAACGAAGTAATAATTAATGACGTGAGAGTTTCACTCATGTCATTTCGACTATTACTCATGTACAATGTCTCAATTTGACTTGCTATACTGTTCATGTTGCTTTCAGCTAATCTGTTTAATAGACCTGAAAATTTCACAATATTTTAATTAATTTCAAGCAATAGAGTTTATATAGATTGATCATGGTCCTATATGTGGTTGTTGGAATAGAATATCTAGTAACACACCTTTGAGTTGTTTTTTAAGCCTATCGATTTTTTCTTTATGCTTTTTATCATCTGATCCACTGGCTTCCATTTTAGCCCGAATTGCTGGCGGAATATATTTATTCGATTTATTCTAGAAATTAATTAAGGGTTAAAAAGGCCAGGTTGTGTATAGTATTCATGGTTACCTCAAGTACTGATCCATCGCTGGACCTTAATCTCCCGTAAATATCTTCCCATACATCTTCCCTCGCTTTAGAAGTTATCAGATTCTCTGAATCACTATCAATGTCCGAATCAGACAATTCTCCACTCTTGTCCCTTGGTGTTTCAACGGGAAAACCCAATTTTGGTTTTTTATTATGTTTTTTTTCATCACCCAATCTTTCAAGTTTCCTTTTGGCTTTGTTTTGTGTAGTTATGTTTGCGGCCTCCCCCGCATCAGAGTTGTCATCGATTTCAGAAATAAAGTCGGATTCTACATCAGACTCACTATCTTTCGGTTGCTTCTTCATCATTACTTTAGATTTGTTATTAGCAATATGTCCATCGGTTTCCAAACTACTACTGTCATCAAAACTATCATCATCCTCTTCCATATCTAAAAAAAAATAAAGTTTTTAAAGTTTTACACTTTAGTGAATCATAATTAATGCCCTGGTTTAACTAGTGCTCGAAAAATGCGTTTGCTTAACGTATAAAAATTACCTTGATCCTCGTTGCTTTCCGATTCATCGTCGTCTTGATTTAAAAAGTCTTCAAATTCCGACTCATCAGCTGAACCATCATCAGTGAGAGATTTTTGGCTTGTTAAATTCTTTCCCGTTATAAGAGCAAAATCCTCTTCAAAATTATCATTTCCATCTGGGGCAGCAGATGCAGCTTTTTTGAGATAATCCGAATCACAAACTTCTAATAAATCTGTGAAAGCCCAAAAATGCATTTTACCATAGCGTTGGTTATAAATTAATCATTCTTACAATCTAGACCATCTTCGGAAAATGATTTTGGTATTGCTTTGGTCTTCTTCTTGTTCAGTTTCAATTGCTTCTCTAGCTTCCGAATCGTATGATCTTCTGCTGCATTGGCTTGGAGCAATTGTTGCTTTCTTTGCTTGGACATACCTTTCTCCATTTTTTGTTGCTCCCGCTTTTCCTTTCTATAAATTTCCTCTATGGTAAAAGTCTAAAAAATATATGAAGTTTTGTATTCGAATTCACCTTAATAAGCCTTGTTCTATGCTTGTATTCATTGTATCTTGGCTAGTAATGTCAACGTAGTAATGTTTAACGTGGTAACGGTAGTTATAAAATTAAATTAATTATTATAAATATTTGAAAAAACTCAAATAATTACATCAACTTTACTTAAATTATTGAGATCCACGATGTTTTCTCGTTGAAACTGCTTAATATAAAGTGTTCTTTAAGGAACACAACAAAAAACGAAAACTTCGGAAGTACACGAAAACTACATGTTTACTGCTTACCTTATTGCCATCAAGAACTTTAGGTGGTTTTCGTTCGCTTGCTGCCTGTTTTTTACGCGTAGACTTGCCACCTTTATCTGATAGTTCTTCTGCAGAGTCTAGTTCCCCAGAAGAAACAGATTTCTTGAATTTGCTGAAGTAATCATTACGCTTCACTTTTTTCTCTTTCCGTTTATCTTTTCTCAGTTGTTTCCTAGAAACGTTTCGAACCGAACTTGATTTAACTTTATTTTTTAAAGGCATTATTGTTGCATTTTGTTAGAATATTCACAGTTTATAAACAAACACGCGTGTAAAAGTTAGGTTCTCTTCGCTGTTAAGGTTAGTTATTCTTGTGTCTTCTCTTTAACATTACCAATTTGAAGTAGGGATGGCACGAAATAATTTGTCACAGATATTTTGGTACAGATACCGATATGGACAGTCGATCTCTGATATCGACATTTAAAGTAACATGTGTTTTGAAATAACAGGGATCGCCTACGATGCTGGTCCCAGTATCAGTACCTACTACTGCTTGTCTTTATCTATGATCAGTACAACATCGATTTATATAACATATAAGCCTTGTTCTACGATCGATTTCGATATTTCAACGCTAAAAGGCAAATATACCTGCCTTTTGATTCCCCACGGCGTTGTCAAATGGCATGGGTTTTAGTGAAACGATATATTTTATTCTCATGAAGTTTTGTATGTATGGGAGTGGGACGTAGGATGATTTTTCGAATCCATGCACCCATGATACAATGAGTACAAGGTAGGATCTTGCGTCGATTTGCGTGACGTCAGTGGAAATAACTGCGTGTCGTGATTTTTTCCAGTCTGCTTAATGTGATTAAATATAGCTTATTTAGTATTTGTCACATTTAATTATTTTTTAATAAATCTTCTTTATAATTACAAAATACTTTGCAGCAGGTTTTAAACTTGAAAATGAAAAGGAACAAAAATTTATTTATTTTTTAGGCTAGCATAGTTGCCAGATGTGCAATAAAGTATAGCGTTTGCTTTTGGCAAGTACCCCAAAAGTTCGAATTGCAAATTCCTCTCATAATCATCATTTTTGAAATGCTGAGGGCACACGCGTATCCGCACGACAACAAGCATTCTCCCATAGCTTGCACACGTTCTACAGTAAACTTTCCAACTACTAAGCGCAAAATGCTCAGTTGTTTGTCTACAAGATTCCCAAACACGCCCAAACGCATTCACCCCATGATTCAATGAATTCATTGAATGATACAATGAATTAATTGTTTCGTTTGGCTCTACCCGATTTTACGAATGACACTCTGGCAACATAGCAAGCTAAAACGCTGAAAATCAGATATTTTGTAAATACTTTTTTAGGGTATTTTTCTTCGCAGTAAGCCCGAATAAGGTCCTAAACGTGATTTTGAAAGCATTGAGCTATACAACACTGCAAACCATATCCTCATATAACTTTCCATTTTTGAACTATTTAATTCGTTTTAAATTCAATAAAAATCTGTCTAGGTTACATGCATTTTAAATGGGATCAGCTTTTCACTTTACCAAAGTGCTAACCAGTGACGTCATGTGCGCTCGAAAAACGGGACGGAAACCATGAAATTTTGGCATAATCTTGCACCTAAGTGTCTGATATTCAAATTTCACTTTCTGGGTCAAAACTACTCGAATTTCCACACTCACGTTGTTACGACTGAATCGAGTTTTCAATTCTCTATCCAACGATGCCAAAACGAATTCTGTGGCTCGAATGGTTCATGAGAATCTTCGAAAAAAGCAGCGTCATGTTCAAGTGGATTTTGCAACCTGCTGTTTTTCTTTCGCTTTTTATGTCGGTCTCGCTAAGTGAGTTTTGCTTTATTCTTTCCAGTCCCGTTGCGTAGTATTTATTATACAGGCATAATTATACAGTGTGCCTCAACGTTGGCGCGCTCTTAGAGAGCACAGCATATTTGCGCGGTTTTGCCACATTTGACAATGAAACCTTCAAATTTACCAGTTTATTTTGCTTTAATTGAATTTTTACATATTGAAACAACTGAATCAATAAGAACATATCAACATCACTGATTTCTCGTAAATTTATAAGATTTATGAGGGTAACCGCTACAAGCTACCTGGCACAAAAAGGAACCGCGCTCAATAATCAAAATAGCCTAATTCAAAAAGTTACTATTCTTTATTATTAAGTTATTTTATTCGTTTTAAGCACAAAAAGTTATTCCGATACCGGGAATCGAACCCGAGCCTCCTGGGTGAAAGCCAGGTATCCTAGCCACTAGACCATATCGGATATATATATACCGCGTGAATAAATGGGATTTAATGCCAAAATCTAATGCCGCCAATAGCAAATCTAACATGGATTATTTTACTACCAAACTAAATCAGCACAAATGCATTGCAGCTGCGAAAAACTACAACCGTCCAAATCAGCAACCCACCGATTAACATTGTTAACCCGGTGAACACAAATGTTCCAAAAATTAAAGCGTTTTTAAACACTTTTCACTTTTAAAGCATTCATTCACTTTGAAAGAAAAATATACCTATCTTTAAATTTTTCTGTACCTAAACTATTTTTAGAGTTTGTAGGTAAAAAGAAGTCTACTAAAAAAAGATAGCACCACAATTTTTATGCAAACCCTCTAAACGTTGCGCACGCTGTATATAGACATTGATCTCTAATTGCATTAAATAATCTTTGTTGATTAGAAGCGGCTAATTTTTTAACCGACCACTCAAGCAACAGTTAAAAATAATAACAACTTGCCATAACCTGATGCCTTTATAGTGTATAAACGACACTATTTACGGATGAAATTGTATCAGTCTCATAATCAGTACTTTTCAGTGGGCTTTGACCGCCACTGAGAAGCGCTGTAGAGTGACTCGTGTCAAAGGCTCTTAAATAAATCAACTTATTCACTGATTTGCAGGGAATTGGATTTCGATCACGAAAAATCTATTCATATACGTTATCATGTCATATTGGCATTGTGATAATAAACAGCTTAGGGTCAATTGGAGTGATTTCTCTAGAAGTGTTGCCTGGCAATTTTAGGGGAGTATAGTAAGTACTAAAAAACAGTTTTTCTTATGAAATTGCTCTATTTTCAATAAACTAAATCACAAATTTTACAACGTGTTTGGTTCGCACATACAAACGACATATTTTCTCATTAACATAACGTAGGTATCCGCTTCTTTATGCGTTAATCAGGCGAACCGAAAAAGTAAATTGAAAGGGGGTTCGCACATTCACAGTTTTGTAATAATTGAAACTTTAATGGATATCAAACTTAATCGTTTCTTATGAATATAGCAACACCTTTCTGATGTCCAAAATTTTACCTATTTAGTCACCTACACCAGTAGGATATACTGGATGATGTGTGCTCACGTTATATATCTTAAGCTTTGAAGAGTACAAATTAATCGCTAACCACAAATGGAATATTGACAAAGTGTGTCATGTTTCTGAAAAATACCTGCTTTGGTGCCTTTTCCAATAAGCATTTCTAATTTTACAATTTCGGAAGATCAAGTTTTGCTGTTTATTGCTGGTGGATTTGCGTGGAGAAAATTGCACATAATTAACTAATCAAACTATTTGCCTAATAAATCTGGCAACAAAAATCTGACACCTGCATATGACATTTTTGTCATTAACATTAGGTCTTCAGCTTTATGTGTAAATCAACAAATATAAGCGCAACTTGACGGAAAAAATGACCATTTAACTGACGGAAATCTAACAATGTCACTGTCGACATTAGTCTATGTTTCAAGTTCCCAATGCACCTGTCACAAAACTATCAAAAACATTCCTAACAATAACTTCCTCATTTTCAGTATTAAGGTTCGTATCTAATGTCACTGTCTTATGTTAGTGCAAACATTTTAAACAAACATATGCAAATTTTACAGGACAAGTACATATTAAATGCAAAATGCAAGTGTCTAGGAATGAGAAAATGAGAATTACTAGACTTTGCCTATATTACTTATCAAATTGGGGAAAACCATATTTAAATACAAGGAGAAATAGCTTGGATACATAGGAGTATAAGCAGAATGATTGAAAATTATCGTTGTTCCTCTTAAGGAGTCACTGGTGTCGATTCGGAAAGTACCTACATACATAAAGAGTATAAAAACTATCTGCCATCAAGAACTTTAGGTGAGCTGTCAATTAGCAACAATCTGCTAATCGGTAGTGTCGTTAAGTATTAGAATTTACAAAATATGAACATTCATCCAAACTTACCGAATTGTTCTGTTTGGAAAAAAAAGTATTTCGTGTTTAGGAGTGTTCTGCGCAATCTCAAGATCTACATCATTTGGGAGAATTAGAACGTCGCATTCGAAAGCAAATATTTCCAAATAAACAAGCTTTGATAAATGAAATTGGTGTGATAAATACTATTTAGAGCACCCGCAAAATATTTTTTACATAATAACTTTAGTGTAAGTCATTAAACTAGATCAAAAATTCTAATCCTTAATTTTTGTTTGAATCAACATTAGTGAAAACGAGCTTTGCTTCTTTACTTTTGTCCCATCGTGTACATTCCTCAGCTTGACAACCTGAATGTTTTTGAATGCAGCTTTTTACTTTAGCTTAACAGCTCAGTTCTAACTAGTCGGAGAAGGTGTGCGTGTTTTTCCGGAAAAACAGCCCGAACCAGAACTATAGTTTTGCAATTCTCTGTCGTACACTCCCATGTCAGCCTTGAATAAAATATTTCCAAAGAGGTGTTGAACAGCAGATTGAGTCGTTTTACTGTAAGAGCGCAGTTTTAAGGCAATGTGTTCACCATATACATCACAGCTGTTGCGTTGCTCTATGCTACTGAATGAGTGCGCAATACGATGATCATCTTCCAACCCTTCATTGTCATACTTCCGTTTAATTCCTGCTAGTCTTTTAGAACTAAGCGCTGTATTAGTAAAGTCTTTCATATTTGACAGATCAGGTTCCAATATTTCCCATGAAACATCTCCTTTGTCAGGCATTCCAATATCGCTTTCCTGTCCCATTTCTTCATCTATTTCATCGAAATACGTTCGCTCCAAATGGGGCTCCTAAAATGACATTACACTTTTTAAATTTTCGCGTATAAAGTTATAAACGGATAAACATGCAGTAAAAGCTCCTGCTCACGGTGACATTAATGTAGTAACATCTTATGTCGTCTACAATTTGCGACTACAACTACCGATGGTGGCGCTGCGAAACGTCAAATTACTCGTTGTCGAGTGACAGTTAGGACTTGTCAGACTTGTTTATTTAGTGGAGTTCATGACATTTATAACATAAAACAATACTTACACACTTTTCGATCTGTTTCTATTGCGTTAAAAGGTTGGAACATTTTATTACAACAAAACAAAACAAATCACAATCAGATGTAAACACCAATGTGACGGAAATGTCAAGAAAACAAGTGTCAAATTACTAGTTAATTTGTAGTTATAATTTTAGCCACCAGTCTCACATCAAAATGGTTTGATATACGACACCGTGACACTGGCTACTGTCGCGAATTTAGATGTAACGACATTAACGTTACCGTGTGAACGAGCTTTAAGTTTTATTTAAAAAGAAATGAAGCTCGGATATGTTTGTCTGGTTTGGTGGACGAATTCTCTGGCTCAAATGGTTCTTGAAAAACTTCGACAAAAGCAGCGTCATGTTCAAGTGGATTTTGCAACTGAAAAAAACCACGCAAATCTAAAACTTCTTGAATTCAACCATTTTTTGAGAAAACTACCAACATTTCCTTATAAATGGTTCACTTGCTAAAAAGACCATTTATTTCTCTCTAGAATGATGTACAAATGAGCGTTCTTGCTCATTTTGCCTCCGAGAATTGAGAAAAACGGGACGGAAAACATGAAATTTTGGCATAATCTTGCACCTAAGTGTCTGATATTCAAATTTCACTTTCTGGCTCAAAACTACTCGAATTTCCTCACTCATGTTGCTACGAGTGAATCAGCTTTTCAATTCTCTATCCAACGATGCCAAAACGAATTCTGTCGCTCGAATGGTTCTTGAGAAACTTCGAAAAAAGCAGCGTTAAATTCAAGTGGATTTTGCAACTCAAAAAAAACCACCCAAATCTAAAACTTCTTGAATTCAAGCATTTTTTGAGAAAACTGCCAACATTTCCTTATCGATGGTTCACTTTCTTAAAAGGCTATTTATTTCTCTCTAGAATGACGTACAAATGAGCGTTCTTGCTGATTTTGCTTCCGAGATACATGCAAAACGGGACAGAAAACATGAAATTTTGCAATAATCTTACGCCACCCTTGCATAAAACGACGATAATTTTTCTAATTTCATAGACAACAGAAGACTGTATTTTTTCTACATAACCCCCCCTGAATTTAAAGCTGGATCCGYCCCTGTGTCAACTGTTACATRTATTCCCGGCTCAATTATACAGATTGTTCTTCAACTTACTCAGCTTACACATTTATATTGTTCACTTTAAAAGTTWAAATCTAAGTCAGTGTAAATAACGAAATTTATATGTCGTGCTAAATTTTTATCAAAACATTTAGCAACACTAAACAAATGGTGTTCAATAACGCTTCAAACGGAAACCAAATCCCTCATCGAAGCATTCACAATTTTACAGCTCCAAAGTTAGGGCAAATTTGGCCATGTAACTAAGTTTTTTGAGCAGCTTAAATATACCCTGACTTTTACAACCAGCTCAAGTAGCAAACATTAAAAAACAACTGAATATAGATTTTAGATTGATATTAATATATTAGATTCTTAAGAAAATGTATCGATTAGTCATATTAGTTCTGGTAATAATTTTTCAATAATCGTTACATCGACAATTTTGCCATAAATTCCATCGATTGATCGATCAGTGCATGTGCCTAAAGAAATACTTTTCCTCAAAATGTTTACTTCTACATGCGTCTTTTGCTCAGAAATATGTACTTTTTATATTATTTTAATTGCTGGAATTACAATGAACATATAAATTATTTGCTTACCTCAACCTTTACTTCTACACATTTCAATTTCTTATCAACATTAGTACTTGAAGGCCTTCGGCTTCCATTTTTAGTGGACAGAAATTGAAATGCTTCATATGCAAACCATTGGTTCTTGCCTCCGTCCGGGAGGTCTGTAATTTATTTATATACATGATTTTGCATGAATGATTTAAAATGTTTTATTAAGAAGTTGCATTAATAAAAAACAAATAAAAAATAATAAAATTAAAAGTACGCAATATTAACGTAAAATAAAATAACTCCAGGTCTTACAATGTGTAAAATAAACGGCATGTAGCAAATTTTTAAATTTAGAAAAACCTGCGATCGGACTATTCAGATAACTTTCATCAATGTGATCGCACGTTAAAAAATTAACGGCAAAAAACCATTTTGCTTGTTGACTGGCAGATCTCTAACCAATAGAAACACTCGTATCGTCGTATCATCGTATAAACGGATGCATGGGACGTGGGCTTTAGAATCAATTTGACAAAGAATAATTATGCATTTTTGCTCCAATTTTTAAGATTCAAATAAAAAAACAAATGTCTTAAACTGTTCTATAGCTTTAAATTAATTACGTACCTTTTCCCATGCCTTTAATTTCTTTGGACCTCTCTCGCCTATATGATGCTAATAGAGAATTAAGTTTCAGTTTCAGAATATCTGTTGAGGTACCCAACTGATTGGCAATTTCGTCCCAAGCTTCCCGCTTTTTCGATCTCACGCGATACAAGCTATGTCTCGAATTCCATAATTCTGGCTTAGATTTATACAATTCGATCAATTTTAAACAGAGGTCATGATCCCACTCCATTTTTTATGTGTAACGCAACAAATAGCCCAAATAAAAATAATGTATAAACCCTTTTTAGCTCTTTAAGTGCACGAGCACAAGCACTATAATCCCCATTCACCAAAAATAACGCTTTACAAACTTTTACAAACACTAGTCTAGTTGAAAAAAATTGTTTGGGTTCGAAAGCGTTCTAAAACATTGACAAATGCTTGCAATTGCTCGAAAACGTCTCGTAATTGTGACGGAAAGTTCACAGCTGACCGTCATCCGACGAACATTGCGGTTGTCGGTCTTCGTTACGATATTAAGAGCGACCGATTTAATTCAACTTTTACGCCTCTAGATTAAGAAAACAGTGTGGTTTCGTGATGTTTTTAACTTTCCTGCTTAAATCACTAAAATTTGAACTCAGGTCCAGCCATTCGATAGGTTCAATTCAGTGGTACCGACCGTAATAAAATTCGAGTTATTTCACCTGGGGACATTTTGAACGAACTGCCAACACTGGCTTGCGAACATGTACGAACGCCTTCCCATGTAAAATAACAAGAAATACGGATTGTGCACGATCAAGGCGAATGACGATCTATACTTTAGTAAAGACCTGTTTTCAAATAGCAATTTACTTGAAATAATATCATGAGATGGCGCTGGTGATTGTATAGAGAAGGAAATTCGTTGCTTTTCCTGTTCTGTTTCACTATTTCGTATGTAAGTAGTTTTTAGGATAGAGGAGAAAACGTTTTTTATTACAGTTAAAAAATGTGACCAAATGGCAAAAGAGACAAATACTGGGCTCGGTAGCACTCCAGCTACTAATAATATACCATCGACATCAGACACACAATTTATTCTTCGCCCCAAAAATCCCAATGCACACTTTCTTGGGGATTCACCGTCATCAACAAGCTTAGTTGAGTTGTGAGCCGTAAAAAAATTACTCGTTCTGAACCGAAAACAGCAGCGTCACGTTCAAGTGGATTTTGCAACTCAAAA